CGGCACAAAAGAACTAGCTTTGTGGAGCGGCTCGGCAGCGAGAACGGGAACTCGTCACGATTCCCTGGCTAGTACAGGCGACTTCTTCAAGCGAGTTTTTACGGACGTCAAGTACGAGACAATCTTTTGGTTCCACGCTAACTTTTATTTTAAGTGACGCCAACAACTGACATGACCTCTACCGTTCTCACTTGGTAATCCCAGATGTAATCAAGGATGTGAGCGAGGATGTAATCAACTATGTAATCAACAAAGCTTTAAAACGTAATTGCTTATTTACTATCGGGCGCATGGTTCTATTGTTGCAAAATTTACAATACTTGAATAAGAATAATCTAAACAAGAAGTAAGCCTCTGAGAATAATGAAAATCTCTTGGATAACAGGTAGCCACAGTAAATGTCACAGCCATCCATTCTGTCTATAGTACCAATTATTGAATAAAGGCTGATAGTTTCTAAAGAATACGTTTGGGGCTGCGTCGGTGGGGGTAACGAAATAATTTGAATATATCAAAAAAGTTGAAATGGTAAATTGGCCACCGTTACGGTGGCCAATTTACCATTTCAACTGTACCAATTATTGGTTCACTTCACATTACGGTAACCCTAAACAGAAGAGAACATGACAACTAATTCCCTTCATTAATCTCAAGAAATAAGAAATTCAAGATCATGACACATACAGCAAAGTGGAATATAACTATACTGGTTTGAAATTCATAGCGCACTTCGACTCAAAATTTATTTGGCAAGGCAAAGTATTCTACTGAAATGAACAGGACAGAATACAGCTGACGCCATTCGTTTCGAATAACACATGAACATGAAGAAAACGGCACCAGTTTTACTCATGAGACAAAGCCCACGCTTTTTTTTAAGGTAAATGGACTAGTTAGACTGAAAGTTAGATAGATAAACAATTAACTGGCAGTAGTGAGGGATTTGGGGGCCAATTAATAAGTTTTACCGAAGTTTTTCGTCTAGTTAGCACATGAAGCTCGAAAAGGCAATAATAAAAATTACCACATGAACACAGTAAAAAAGTAAGCCCAAACCGTAGTTGATTAAGGCCAGAGGCGGTTTTGGGTCACGACTTGGAAAATCTACCAAAACCTCCCGAAAAATAATTCGCCGAGGGTTGTAGTAAGAGCAACTTAATCCTGAAGCTGGGAAATTTTTTAAAGCCTTGTGTCCTATATGACTGTAAAGAGTACGAAAAGACGATGTTATTTAAAGTGATTTGATGCTTGGGGGCCACCCTAAACTTAACGCAATTTTACTTCGAACTTTAAGTAAAATAAGATCAAAATCTAAATTTCCATCTCAGTTTCCTCAGATCAAATACACTATCGTCTTCACATACAACTTTGTGATTGACAAAAATAAAACATCAACATCTTACTACTAACCTTCAAGGTTTGTTGTCTCATGAGCACATTTTGATGTTACGTAAATCAAATCTCAAACTTCAAGTTTTCGGGCTTTCTTCGCGTTTTGTTCGCACTTTGATTATTAAAATAGCCTTAATCGAAGAGAGCGCAAACATCATGAGTATCCACACAGAGTTAGAAATGTTGGTGAACTTGTCATACTCCTTCATCCATCTTTAAAAAGTATTACAAAAAGGTGTCGATCGTCCAGTTGAAACCTCGCAGAAACGCATTGAAAACTTTACAAAAGGCGCCGAAAGCGACAAGCCAATTCCACTCGCGCATGCGCAAACAAAATGCTTCTCTGCTCTGCTTGGGGAGGTCGAGCATTAGTTGTTAGTGCCAGACTTCTCGCTGGCTCGCGTTGCACCAGTCCTTAAACTTTCTCAAGAGCAAAGGAACGCTCGATTTTTCTCTCCGGTGAGCTCCAGCTCTCAACAAAAATGTAACCATATGGTGGGTTTGACGAGGATGAGAAAGCTTCTTGATGTTAATTTTGATTACTCATGATGAAAATTTCTTTACCTTTCATTTTCTATTTCTTTTATCGGATGTACTATTATTCTGACATTCAAACAACGCATACCACTTATCTAGACGGGCTAGAGGTTTTGCAGTTTCCCAGGTTTGCCGAATGCAGTTAACATATTTCCCCTCTGAAGTTTTTTAAAGCCAAAAGCGCGGGAAAGTGTGAGCAGCCAAGTCACCATTGATTTTAACCTTGCATTTGATTGGTTGCGAGGCCAAGGGTGGAACCGTGGCTCCGCCTCAAGCGCGGGAAAACGCGAGCGGCCAAGTCACCACTGGTTTTAACATCTGAATGGTTGAAAGGCCAAGAGTGGTACCGGTTTTCTGGACCAGTCATAGAGGGTGTTAAAAAGAAAAAGACCTGTCCAATCTTAGATTCAACCTTCAATTCAATCAAGTTTATTGTCTTTACGTGAGGCATGGTTACACAATTGCCCGAGCCAGAGGCTCATGTATGAAACGTAAGACAACACCCACCCATCCCACCTTAGGTGAGGACACCCGCCACACAGTAATCTCGTGCATGGGAAATAAACGTCTCCTACCCCTAACCCTGCAGGAGACGGGGCCTACGGTTTATTCGTCCTTATCCAAGAATACTAGAATATCTATCTATTTCTTAATATTATAGAAAGGTAGCGAATTCGCCTCAGTTATTTTAAGACCATGAATATTGGTCCGGCCGAGGCTCGAACCCTCGACCTTCCGCACAACACCATCCGGCGCTCTTACAAATTGAGCTAACCGGGGGGCGGTCAAATGAAAATTAGTCTACTTAGATCTTCCATATCTGGGCTGAAAACAAGTCCAAATGACAATGTTTTCATCTCCTGCTCTTCGGGGACGATCTGTTTCAGGTTTCCATTTTTCTGATCATTTCACCATAAAATAAGAGTAGTCCCTCCTCCTTTCGACAAAATCCGTCGCACAAGTCTAATAAAAAATCAGTCAAAAAACTTTAATGTCCTTACAGTTCCGCGCGACGCGCTAACATCACTGGTTTTAAAGAAAGGACTACTCAAAGTCTAACGGATTTTTTGTTGATAACAGTGTAGGTGGCTTGACGAGTGTCCTGAACAGGTATTCTCTAATAACATGAGCTAACATGGAAGGAAAAGGTTCTATACTTTATTTGCCAGAAAATATTCAGCGCTATTGCAAAGAACTTGTTGTGTATCGTTTTATACTCTATTCAATTGTTCACTATTTCTGATTCAGAATCACTTTCGCTTTTGTCTTTCTAGCAAACAAATCGAGAAGCATTATCCTGATGGGACCAAAGAGATCATCTTCCCTGACCAAACCATAAAGTATCTGTACCCAAATGGAGCCGAGGAATGAGTATTTAGTGTCGGCACTATACAGAAAGTTAATGTGGACGGCGAGCGAACCATTGAATTCCCAAGTGGACAGAGGGAGACACACACGAAATTCTATAAAGTAGGCAGAGGCAGGTTGTTCTTGGTTCTTGTTAGGGCAACATTTTGGTCATCCGTCTGTCTTGGACAGGTCAAGCTTTTTCCAGGTTCTCTGTCAAGATCCAAAAAGAAAAGTCTATCCCAGGGTACAAAGGACCCCACACCTCAGGCTTGGGTCAGCGAGCCAACATTTAGAACTTTGCGACTGGCGTAACAGCGACATAATAAGGAAAAGTCCACCTTAATACTTATATTACTTGATGTAAAGTAAACGCGAAGTCATGCTTGACGTTTTCTACGAGATGCGAAAGACGTGGATATATGTTGCATCTGAAACTTTCTTAACAAATATTAGAAACTCAACAGCCTTCATCACAGCCGTCGTAACTAAATTCCTTGTTTTCAAACCTGACTTCTATGCAAACTCGTTACACTTCTCCTTGAGCAGCCAGCTACAGTCACTAAATCGTTTTTTTTTTACGTCCTTAAGTTGTCCTTGTATGAGAACTTCTAATTTCTGTAAGCACGGCATTGATAACTAATTTTTTTTCTTCGACTTTTGTGTAGAAAAGAGAATACCCCGACGGGACAGTCAAGACAGTGTATCCCGATGGTCGCACAGAGACCCGTTATTCTTCGGGACAGATGTAAGTCAAAGATCGGGAGGTGCGTGTCTTCGTCGATTCTTCCCACCAGGATAGATGACAGATGCTGTGACGTTGGAGAGATTAATCAAGCGCATGTAGGAAAATTATCTTTGGAGGCTTAACATCGATAAATGACAATTTCTAACTTATTTTAGTACCCACCCCCTTTTGAACAAAACGGGCTCGTTAGCACACAACTGGGTGCTTGTAAAAATGATACATAATTATATTGATACAGAATCTTGACAAGAAGACAAAGGAAATGCTTGTAGTTAGTATTGTAAATTATCTGCTTGTGCGAGTAAATAAGTATTTCTGCGTCTTTTTCACTCCTTTTTCTCTATGTGTTACCACAAAACAAGGAAATGAAACAAAAAGGACATGAACGTACCAGTTATGAAGTGACTTTTCTTATTTCCGGTGATTAACATTTTACGACTACTCAACACAGCAACGAAGTATGCAACTAAGATTGACAATACCCAATGTTATCATTCAGATGTTTAACTCGCTTTTAATTAGAATTTAAACTGTTTTTTTACCATGATTGTAGAAATTCTCGCGCGCTCATTGCTCGAGAACTATTTGGTGATAGGTTTATAAAGGATAAAATGATGTAATGTAACACAACGTTCAGCAATCCTCACAACGGTAAATTTCTGAAATATAGACAGTGACAAATTTCGGAATTTTAAGATCAGTATACTGAGAGAAATGTTTTGAAGAAGAGTTGTCGAGCCGGAAGAAAAATGGGGGGGGGGGAATCTTCAGAAAAAGAAATCTAGATCTCAGTTCGCAAAGTTGAAAGAAGACAACCTTGACGCAATACTTGCCGATGCTGAAGCAAAGGGCACGAAAATTAAAACTAAGCGGGCGATGAAAAAATTCCAGGTAACAGAGTTCATTGCCATCCATTAGTTTTGAACATTGTTGAAAATTTGTTGTCAGTATTTGTTAAATACAACAAACAAACAGCCAAGCGATACATTATTTTATTATTTCATTAGTTTTAAATGGTGGGCCAAGGTTTCACGCCAAATTTATCTGCCGATCAATTCGAAGCTTCAACATCCCTTTTCCCCCACGGGCTACCTGGACTGTCGTCCGTGCCCGGACGGGAATGGGGAATTTGAACCTTGCCCGAGTTGGGTAAGGAATTAATTGGGGCATTTGAACGCAATTTTGGCTGGGAGGGGATGTGAACTAACCAACATTCTAAAAGTTCAAATGCCCGAGGGGGGGGGATGTTGCAACTTCGAATTGATGGATGCCTTATTTTAAATCATTCATAATGCTTCTGCATCCTGTGGAAAATGTGTTACTAACAACTTGAACAATCATCTCATTATCCATTAAAACCCTAACATTAGTATGCAAGCTCTCCATACTGTACTCTATACATCTCCTAAAGAGGATTTGTGGAACAGTCGTGAGCATCGTGAGTTCACGTGCACGATAGTTCCTTTTATCCTCATGACCTCGATGTTTGATTCTGGGGGGATTCTGTCGGGAGAAATAAAGTGCTTATCGCTTTAATTATAAGAGATTGAAAGGGTTAAGAGTCAAATTTAGAGACTGTCTACGCTCGTTCAGGATGACAGAGTTCGCCGGAGTGGGCAGAGGCCTCTGCAACATGAATTAAGTGCAGAAACCAATAGACTACCTAGGTCTTCCGTCCAAACTGTCTCATATGTCAGAATTGAACCGTTTATTGAATTTTTCTCCGTACTCCCGGGCCAGTTGTTTAAACGCCCGTACTACATTGTCGTTTTCAGGACCCATCTCTTCCAATGAAGTGCTGCGGGGTACAGAAAAAAAATAAGTTATTTCCCTGACAAGTTGCCGGGGCCTTGACACAAACTAAGGGCCAAATTCGTGGAAACAAGATCGACAACAACATTAAAAACCAAACCGAAATGAGTGCGTTGTGTCTAATCTCTTAACATCTAATAATCGCTTTTCCGTTTTTCAAGGACGCTATCACAGGACATCACAAAAAATTCAATAAAAAAACCGTAATTATTCGTAGAAATAATTGATAACCAAGCTTTTAGAACAGGCATAATTACTTTGAGTTTTTTAGTATGGGTGGAGGGAAGTGCAAGGGGCGTGACTCGCGCGAAGGAATAACCACAAGTGGCGCAAGGAGCAAAAGGCAAGTGGAGAAGTCTTTTTTTGGAGCTTTACCAAACACGCAAGACTCCCCCCTCGCTTTCGCTTCGCGTTAGTCTCTCGCCTGAAAACTCAAAAACGGCCGAACCTGTTTCGGCTTTGATAAGGCAGCTCGAGCACAGTGATCGTGTGACAACTCTGACTTCATAATTCATTAATATATTATTTCATGTGCAATTACTGAATAAACAAAAAGCCACAATGGCACCAGTATGATAAGCATTTCGAGTCAAAGTAGTTGTGTGCTGTGAATGAATGCGAAAACTGTTTTTTTTTTTTGAGGCTGGAAAGTAGTCTGCCAGCGCACTTAATAACTTTCATTTTTCACAATCGCTGTTTATAAACATGGCTCACCTGATTGATTTAATGGTCAGATAAAAATCCTTCAGAGCAGTGAAAACCTCGCCAGATTTGATACTAAAACGAGAAAAATCAGTATTGAGAAGAACCTTCAGCAGAAAGCTTAGCGCTTTTACGGAAAACGGAGGCTAAATATAACAGAACATACTTTTTCCGTTACATTTTCAGTTCTATTAGGGAAATACAACAAATTAATTAAGTAAGAATGAGATAGAAGTAATAATCTACCTTGTCGAGACTGGGTATTAAACTTTGTCTTTTTTACTAGACTGAGTCATTCTCTTTGAATCGATTTTAATGTTGATCTGTATGCATTATTGCAATTAAGGACTACATGCAAGCCACTGGGAACACTTTTTGTCATTCCAATAATACTAACCCATTGTCTCTCTCAATAACTTTAGAGGATCCATGTTTGAAAAAGTCCAATGCATACGCATTCAAGCGTCGAGAACCACTGACTGAAAGAGTAGGCACGACATTAACGTCTGTGTAGACATCTTGACGAACAATCTGGAAGAGAAAATTACCGCCGATCCTGGTGACTGCTTTGCCCACAAAATGCAAGCTTCAAATACCTCAGCCAATTGTTGTAGATAATTGCGACCAGAAAAGAAAACTGTTTTTTCCTACAAACACGTAAACAGCCATCAAGCCTACTGATGCACCTACTCAACATGGCGTGGACCTATTTCGTTACAAATTCCCGGACACAAATAGTTATACTGACCCACATAGTAATGTTAACCAATTGTTTGTCACCTAAAGTTCATCGTAGAGCAATTTTCAATTTGGTCAAAAGCAATCCAGTAATGTATTGGTTTTACTCAGCTTTGCTCTGTGATTGGTACAAAAAAACTCGCGCCATTCCTTCAACCAATCAGATGTAATACTTAAAACAATTCGCGTCTTGGTCACTCGTGTTTTCCCGCGCTTCAAGCAGTTTGCTTGTTTTCACTTTGAGTTCTCATTGGCCCGTGACAGTGTAAACCTGTTTTCTGTTGCTCGCAGTGATAAATTTGGTTTAGGTTTTTCGGCACTCAGTTGAAAGCTACTTTATAGATACACTTGTTGTTGTTATATTTACCTTGAGTAAATGTTCTATTGGTTCTTCTTCGTCGTCTTCTGACTCCTGGGTTTCAGCTGATGCAGATTTGGAAGAATGTAGCTGTTCGTCTGTATTTCCTGACAGTGCGGCGAAGGAAGAACAGGCCGAGTACGGAATAGAGGTGTTTGCGAGAATTTTCAATGCATGGTACTTGTCAAGGTCTTCTTCAGCAATGCTCACTTTTCCTGGAAATTCTGCAACAGTTATAGTTTACTGTGATTCATCAAATAAAACTTTTACTTGAAACAACGGTGAAAGAGTGCAGATTCATTCACTATCCGATGCGACTGTTTCATCCATTTAAATAATAAAATACCTGTCACGCATTACAACAATTCACAACATGCATGGGTTCTAAGTTGATTTTTATTGTTTTCTCCAAAAATGGTCAATAAAAGCTTTGTTGTCAGTTTAATTACCTATACCCGACAAGGGAAGTTTGATATCCTCCCCGCTTTCCTTTTCAAGGTCCTTAGCAACTGTTGCGAGGTACTGGCTGAAAATATTTGTGACCTGACGATTGTAGTCGCTCAGAGCTTCAGCAAAATCCTCTGGAAGAGGCTCCAATATCACCTGCAATAGTTATGGGCCACAAAAAAATATGATCACAAGACACTGAAACATTAGCTGCTGAGCCTTTTTTTTTAATACCAACAGATCCAGAGTTATTTCCGTGATGTTACCGACAGGGACTTGTTAAATTACGAAATGGCCTATTTCAAGGCCAACTCATGAAGCTAAATCAGAAATAAGATGCGGTTCATTGGCACATTAATTAATTCTGACAAAAAATTGAAATGTGAACAAAGATGGACAATAGATTCAGAGACATTTCTATGTCTACGATGCAAAGATTTCTCACAGCCCAGCTCCGTATTCAACATCTTTCTAAGTTTACCTAAACACACTGTGCTTCAGATAATTCTTGTTAATTCGCAGTATGTAGGGCACTTGTCAGGTTTAAACCTAATAAATGGCCTTATCGTAGAAAAATCTCGTGGTAGGCGTGAACTCGACGTTTTTTTCTTTGTCCCACGCCTCTGACAAAATGCAGGACATCTTTCTTTCTTGCAGCACGTTTCAAGATGTACCCTAACTAAAGTTTGATATCACGAAAAGAAAAACGTCTTAGAGGACTAATGCAGACGTACTTTTGAAGCAGAGCACTTTGAAATTCTTCGCATCAGAGAGGGGTGGAGAAATCTTCTTCCAATCAAGTGGCTTATAACAAGCACCATCTTTCTCATTACATCCTGAGAAAATTCATCTGTTAAAGGGAGAAGAAAATACCATAAAATCTAATGCACGTTACAAGATTAGATCGTTACATCAGATTGAGTTCTATACATTGTCAACAAGAACAGATCAGCTGTTTGCAATTAGTCTCTTAACTAGCCAAAGTAACCTCAAATCGGCTGATCAAGTAGATTGAAATTATAATTAACTGCTTTGCATTTGTCTTTCTCTTTTCAATGGATCTATAAGCGAAACATTCTACGAGTATGAAAATAGCTAAGATTATGTTTTATCGGTTTAGGCGTCCTTACCATTTGTCCCTGGCTCACAAAACTTGTGAAAGAGACCACGTCGTAGAAAACTGACCAGAATATAGTTGGAAGGTTCATGGTAGTGAAGATGGGCCGCTAATCCTGCCATCTCTTGCGGAGCTCCGTTTTCTATTTTTACAAGACCCTGGCAGGATAAGGACAAGAAAATGTAGAGATTCAAGAAGCCCAGTCATTTGTTTATGCAAGGTCTCCTATATGACTTTGTCTGCTGTTGAATGACTGGTATCTTCGTCACATTGCACCTTTAAATTACGTTTTGTTCAGTTCTTCTTTGTTTATGTAGTGACTCGTTGCAATAACTGTTTATCCCTCCTAAGAACTAACACAACATTGCATCCTGAGGAACGACCATTGCTTTCATGGCATGGGTAAATTTTCTATGAGAGTATTGTATTAACTGTCTTCAATACTCGGCGAAATTATTTAGAGTTGAACTGAGATACAGATAATGTTCTGATGTCTGAAAAGTTACATGCAGTGCCCATGAAAGCGTTGCTTACACATATGTCTCACTGTACGTTACTTTAGGTACAATTAATTTTTTTATGCACAATTTCTACTCACCAATTTGGTAAGAAGTTCAACGCTGAATAGGAAATGTTTCTTGATTTGGCTTTCCATCTCAGGGTGTTTTCGGCAGATGAAAGGGTGACACAGCAGGGTCAGAGCCTGGGAACAATAGTGCGAACTTGAATACAGAAATCTTATTTTTCAGCACTTGAAGTGAAAACTTGACTGGTGTGGAGTTTGTCATACCAATTAGTCATTTATTAGGGAACGTGGAAATTTTGGATTGGTGCTTGGTCCTGGGTTCAAGTCCTTCACTCTAGAGTCACCCTGATTCTTACTGGACATGTTCCCGGTCGTTCCGAGTTCAACTCCTCGGCTGCTCTTTGTATATGGCCAACTCGTCTACCCCAGCCAGTTAGACTTCCTAATCACTGTTCTTTATTTGCTCTGTATTTTTCCAGATGGTTTGAATCGATTATTTCTAAATTTGTATACGTATTGAGACGTGTGAAATTTCCCCAGTCGTTCTAAGAACTATTATCATCGTGCGATTTGGCTCATAAACAATAGTTTCGGATGGAATAACCAATATCCATTGTCAAACAGACAGATACTGTGTTACATTAAGTTTAGAGCTGTTAGATTTGAGTACAACCCCTTAATGAAGAATCATTTGTACCTTTAGAGGAGGAAAGCGCAATTCAAGAATAACAACAATGTTGGAAAAAAGTTTGAAAAAATGGAGAGAATCAGACAGTAGAAGGAGAGGTTTCCACGTAATTCAGATCTCAAAGTCTTACCGACCTTAGTTAACGCATCTTGTGGATCGTCTCCTTTTGACGTCATCAGGAGCAGGCGCAGTACCAGCGATACATTGATGGGAAAGTTTCCCACAAGCTTTGGGATGTTTGCGGTGATGAGGCGTTGGACTTTACGGTAAGGGAGTCCAAAAAACACAACATTTCCCACGGGATCAAAGCCTCTTCGACCCGCTCTTCCAGACATCTGAAGGACATGCAGTAGCAGCCACAATTTTTATTTTATTTTGAATCAAAACAAAGCCTTATTCTTTTTCATCAAAAATACAAACCACAGCCGTACACCGTTATTGAGTCAGCTCATCCATTAACATAAGACCTGGAAACTTTTTTGTACCTTTGACAAGAAATATTTGGATAAGATCCATGATCTTCGTGATTAACTTGTTCTATAGCAGGCATGTTTCAATGCTAAAAATTGAACTAGTCTGTAAAGTATCTAATGTCAAATACACCCACTCTCTTTTATTTGTGATAAGTGGACGCCTGAATGAGATGGATACCACAGTAGTACCACTGAATAATCTTTAAAATTGTCCAAGTACCTGTCTGTACTGTAGCGAGTTAAGGAATGGAGAGTCTCCAGCAAACACAACTGTCTTACAGGGCATATGAATACCAAGGGCCAGGGTTCCTGTTGCCGTGACAACCTAAATATGGACAGTAGAACCTTATTAAGTCAACGTCAAGGTATCTTATAAGCAAAAAGAAACGTAATTGCTTGATTTTAGGGCCTACATAATAACAGTATTTGTTTACTCAGAAAACAGTTGCTTTTATTTTAAATGGAGGAAAGGGATCTTCTGAAATCGCTGTAATTTCGACGAAGTTTTACCCTAACTAGAAGATCTCCTCCTCGACGCTTAGGAAATTAGTTATGATACCTTTTTAAGTCGATTTTCGTCCCATCAAAGAATCAAAGCTTACCTGAAGATACCTCTCCCTGAAGAGCATTTCCACGACGCTTCGCATTTTGTTGTTTAATCCAGCATGATGGTAGCTAATTCCTCGTTTCAAGCCGCGCTTGAATGGATTCCTGCTGTGCATTGACCATATACGACTCATGATCTTGTTGAGTTCCTAATGATAGAATTGAAAGAAGTAAATAAACAGAATTACAAATAAATGATTAAAGAAAGTGTAAAGCACGTAAATTTCCAACACAAGTGTTCTCGATACCAGAACAGTTGAATAAACAGGAGGAAGTCGTCTAAGAAAGTAATTTAATTCCAGTTCAAAACATTAGAAAACCAAGATGACCCCTACAGGTGAAAAAGAGCACCAAAGCCCGCGGTCCTCGTCGGCAAAACCACAGAAGGGCGGGAAAACGACTGGTATTTAATCAAACCCTTTTTTAACAATTAGCTTCCTTTTGATACCAAATATACCTCATTTCCAATTCCGTGTCTAAAGCCAAGTGTACATTCAGGTAAAGGCTTATCCAAATCCTCTTCATCTTGATCTTCTCCTTCATTCATCAATCTATTTGGTAATTTAGACTGCGTCATCATAATGAAAACACCAAAGAAAAACATATTTATGCGTTAAAGACCGACAATTGAGACCTCAACAAGACACCTTTTGATGTTTTTCTTGTCAGCTGTCCCTTGAGTCTTCTCTGCGTGCTTTTGAATGCGACTCATGATTTTGTTCAAATCCTGGAACACAAAAATCACCGATCAGGTCTAATTATTTCATGGCAACTGAATAATTATCTCCAAAAAGAGGAAGGCCTGTCAAAGACTCAGGTAAAGTAAGCTTAATTTCGTTTCTCGCAGCAAGCTTTTAAGGAGCGCATATGAATTTAGTGTAGTAATTCCGAAACCAAGGTCAACACGACGGCCAATGTGAGTGAATTCGAAGGAAGATGTCAAAAAGAAACAATGAGAACTCCGAAAAAAGAAAAAAAGGCTCACGACCAGAAGCGATTGAAAACGTAACAGAACAAATGGCAATTTTGTTCTAGTCTCGCGTCTTTTTGGTTGAGAGAGAGACGAACGTTTTTGGGACCCGTCGCACCGAGAAGTAAAGCAAACTTATGCAAACTCGTTATGCTAATTATCAATTGAAAGTTTCTCTTTGAGTGAATGTCTGTAAGCGACGACAAACCCCCTTGGCTACCTCGTGAGTAATTCCATGTTTAACGGCCAGCTCAGTCTCGTGGAGATCTCGTGGAGGTCTGTTCAACACTGAAAATTCCGTCTCATCTTGCTCTTCTGTATGGCCACTGACTCCGCTGAGAGAAAATTGGGTTTTCAAGCGAAAATGAAAACTGAAAAAGTGTACAGCTACCATGCCAGGATTTTAGAATGTTAAGTTTATGTCATGAAAGGCATTTCAACTGTAATCCAATAAAGCTAAAATAATGTTTTGTGAAAACTCCACCTTTTTCCTTTGCGCTTCTCAGCTTTATCTCTTCTCCTCTTCGCTCTCTTTTCAGCTTTAGCTTGCTTCTTTTCCAAACCTTTTGCACTTTTCAAGCCAGCTCGTGCTTTTAGATCCATTTCTCGTTTTTCAAGTTGCAAAGTGAGATCTCCAGCTAGAACTTCACACAGCTGACGATCAAAACTATTTATTAAAGAAGACATGAGTATCCTGTATAAGGCATGCCGCCAGAATTTCCTTTCTATCGATTTATGAATAACCAGTTTCAAGGGTGACGCAGAAGGGGTGAACAGCTACGGGGAGCGCTACTCCCTTCTCCGACGAAAATTAGTTTGGGCGGTCGATCGCACTTGCAAAGACTGACAGAGGTTAAAAAAATTCGTTCTTGTATTGCATTTGTAAGTCAGTTAATCACAATCGTGCTGAGCAAAATAACGCAATAACATAAAATACAACTGCATATTTTATGCACGGCACTAATCGATTACAGACACGCTGGTCACTGTCAGAGTAGCTAAGAGGTGTGCTTGTGCCAACAAACTATTCAAAGGATAGTTTGGCAAGTTTGAGGTGGACTATGCACTCGACTCGAAATACGACGAACCCCACTGTAGGCGGACTGAGAGGTGGGAGGGGCTTGAGCTCCTCCTTTCTTGAATAATTTTTAAAGTCTTTTTCTGTAAAGAACCACCTCAGAGTGACTGTTAGCGAGTTGTTGCTGCAGAGTGAGGTTATACAATATCTCGGTCTTCCTCCTTTTTTTTCCTTTTATTTTCAACGTCTCTCGCCCCTACCCTTTAAACTGCATGCAAGCAGAAAACATGTTCGTACCTAAAAACCAGGGCTGGCAACTTATTTTGAGCTCTCAGCTGGTCAACGAGCTTTGTGAAATTATTCAGGATGAAACGTGTGCCAGATGAATCCATTTCCAGCTTGTTCCATTCCTCCTCAGTTGAAAACCCCGTTTGTAAGCACTCCTTGTTTAACCATCGAATGACAGATTTCACCTGGAGGAAGACATAGGACTCTAAACTTACGACGTTTTTGATATTGAGAGAGACTACAATATAATCATCTTTCCACGTATCTTTAGCATAAGCTGTTTCGAAACACTCTTTAGGTTTTGTCATTTTACTTGGGAAGCGATGTTTATACCAGGGTAGAAAAAGGGTTCAAGATTTCAATAAATTTCTCTCCCTCTCTCGCCCCCCCCCCCTTCTCTCTCCCTCAATCGCTTTTTCTCTTTCTAATCAGTGATAAAACTTGAAATCTAGTAAATTACAGAGTCGAGCGATTCCTATGATCACGAGCGTTTGTTATTTTACGATATTGTCAGAAATTCTAAACTAGATTCTTCAAATGCTTTCAAACTGACGAAGAGCTTAGGGAATGCCGATAAAAGAAATGGCAGTGTTTATCTGAAACTGTTTGCCAATCCTAAGAAACAAACTCAGGCTGTATTTAAATGCAAGATCACACGGAAATCTTCACAACACTTCCATACCTTTTCCACCTGCCCTTCATCCGCCCAGGACTTGAATTCTGCTTTTACCTCACTCTCGTATTGCCGAACATGGTCCTTCTGGATCAACTCAGTTCCCAAAAAATATTTCTCTGGAAAAAGTTTCTGCATGAAAAATTTTAAACCAATGACACAATGAAGGAGCATCACTGTGGTTGTTTTTTAAAGTTCATGGTGTAAATAAGATTTTTCTGTGTTGTTTCTTTCATCGAGGTAGAAGTCTGTTTCTCTGATAATCTTCATAAGTGCCAAAGGCACGTACATGAAGCGAAGTTAGTGGCATTGGAGGTGGAATCAGTGCAGTTTCACTATTCTACATAGCAATTGCTACATTGTTAATGATCATGGTCACTGCTATTTTATCAAGGTCGTTGTTACAGGTGGTCCCTCAATCGCATGATTGAATAAAAATATCGTAGTACTCGTCCACATTAGAGAAGGAAGCTTTTGGTACATAATTTCTAATGTTGTGTAGAATTAGATACAGCGTACGTCTACTTCTTCGAAAATATGATTTACTTCCTTTTGTAAAACGACTGAGATACTACGAGCGCCTGATTGGTCAAAAACGAATCGTTTATTGCACCACTACACCTAAAGAATATCGAAAAATTACACTCTTGTTTTAAGCTTATTTTATAAAAGCAATAGGAAAAGGGTTGAAAAAGGTGAAAACGTTTGTAAATGCTTTAAGTTTACAAACTTTTCTCGTTTTCTCCAAACATCCCGCGTGATTTATTTTGCGTGTAAACCGATAGAGGCGGTGCTGTCTATTGCATAACTGAGTTATCTCCTAACCTGTAATGATTCCTTTTCAGGCCACTGCTGAACCATGACGTCATACAGCTGCAGAGTTTCTCGTGGAGTCAGAGCCATATCACCAGGGAAAGAATTTTCTCGCAACTAGTTTTTAGAAAGCAATTGGTCAATAAACCCACATATATATTAGCCTTAGAACATATGTGCAATTTGTTATTGCCCTGTGTACTTATTTTCGGTCATTTTCGAAATTAAAGGATACATCATACGGCGATAAAGCCTTTAACCCCTTTCGATCACATTTAACTGTTGGAGACAATTCGTTTTTAGCTATGAACCGACTTTGTGTTCGTCGAAATTTTTCCTAAGTTGCTAAGTAACACGCGGAACAATCCAACTCCAAGAATGACGTCACTAGTCCCAGACTCAATTTAACTTAACCTCGCGGCATATTGTTCGTATGAAGACTAACTATATTGTTGAATGTTCAAAATCACAAAAAGGCAATAAATACTTTAATAAATCCACGCTTGACAATTTAGTGTTCTTTCTGTCCTATCACGGAATGATGCTGTTGCTGTTATTTCCATACCTGTTTGAATCCGAGCTGTGCGCATGGGTGAAGTCTAACAAACTCTTCCGTGCCCTTGAGATCGTAAGTACCTTCATATTTTTGTGACTCACTTGAAAATTCACCATTACTGGGACTTGGAAGGTATATGCTCTTTTCTAGATCTGAGTACCTCTCAGGACAAGTAACTTGAGGAAATGTCAAAAAATCAGATTATTGCTTAGGGACCTGTCATTTGTAAGAGTGGCTAGGGCTGGGTATTCTTTTTCTCTTTACTTTGTTTTAACAGGTGTTGTGAGAATACGCGTGGTCGGTAGGAAACCAGAAGGTAATAAAAAGAGATAGCGAAAATGTGTTATTTTGACAGGTAATGGTCGGCTACAGAAAAAAGAAAGCAGTAACGATAACGTCCGTTTTCAGACAATAAACTTCTCATAAGTTATCCTAAAACAAATTTGTACTGAGTCAAATGAATAAGTGGGCCTTTTCAGTGAGACATTGAACTTAATTAGGAGTTAGAGCCGAGCAATTGAAAATGAAAAGAAATTCATCTTAAGTGTACATAAATATTGGAAAGAAGTCAAATAGTAAAATGGAAATTGTGTGACTCGAGCAATTGTTATTGAGAACCAAATTCTGCCTTCGAAAGGATAAGTCTTGCGACGCAGTTCTGGCCAGATAGTTCCACGATTTGACAAAACACTTCAGTATAATTCATGCATATGATTCTGCTAAGAAAAAAAGTTCAGCGTCTGACTTCAAACAAGAAGGAATAAACGACTAAGCTGTTGCAAATTAAAATTTCCTTTCACTTTACCCAGCCTTATTTTGTACGACGCCCTCAGCTTGACATTTTGTAGCTTGTCTTGCTGTTCACGAAAGTCTTGAGCAGCTTGCAACCACCTGTAATCGAAAAAAATCAGGATTGTATTCATGATTTAACTACGTAAGAGTGTACAAGTATATGTGTACATCTTGAACCCATTTTGGTATACAGAGAAAATCCCGTAAGACTCAGTAAACACATAATTGCACAATAATTTCTCACTCCATGAGATCATTTGGATTTCCAATGGTTGCTGAGAGTGCCAGGAAGGGACAACGAATAAGTAAAAGTAGATGCTCCCAGACTTCAGCACCAATCTCTTGACCAAGACAGTGAACCTGCAATTACAAGGCAAAGGAGAAATTTTATAATGAAGCGAAAAGGAAACTCAACTCAAGAAATTAGTTTCATGCAAAAGATGACTAGGTTTTACTGGCGATGAAACTGCGTAAAAGTGAATTGCCTTAAACCATCGAGGTTCGAAATGTTTCAAATGACTTTCAAAAGGACGACGTTTCGATATTTGCTTAATGTCATTGCCAAATCACGATAAAATATTAGGTATGTATCTAAATGAAGAAAGAATTCCTTGGAGGTATGAATACATTAGTAAAGTAAAAAAAAATACTCATGTCAAGAAGAAGAATTTACTGAGAAATTTAAATGACTGAGTGACCAAAAGATCCGGCTCGAAAAAATGCCCGGCTTTTGCATTCTTATCTTTTCCTGCCCGCAATTTTATGACTTCACTTTTGAAAATAGCTTCGAGCAATTTTTTCAGTTTACCTCGTCGAAGATCACGTATTTAACGTTCTTTGTCCAATCCTGTCGACGAGGTGAGAGAAAAAGTATCTCCAAACACTGTGGAACTGTAACAAGGATCTGTCAAAAAAAAAGAAAAGAAACAAGTAATTCTGAATTAGAACTTAAACGCAATCAAATTGTTTTAGAAAAAAATATATACCGAGTTCATCAGCTTACCTGAGAGTTCAACGTATTGAATCGATAATCCCTCGTGAAAACACCATACACTGCTCTACCCTCTGGAAGCTGTTTACGATGAAAGCGAGCGTAAACTGTAGCAACAACTTGGTTCACCAAGGCCTAAAAGAGCAATTAAAGCATAAACTAACGGTATTTACAAAGGAAAACTGTCACCGACGTCAGACTTTTCTAGGATTTACTCTGGGTTAAGGTCTTTTAGCCAAATTTAATTCATCTGCTTTGCCCTTCTTTCCCGAAGGGTCTAAATCAACCCAGTAAAAAACCACAAGATACAGAGGAACAAAAACACAAACGTCCGAATTTCAGTTAAAAATGCGATTTTTTATTTCTATTCCATTCCTAAAATTTCGCCCATCATGTAATATGAACCTATTCGCAGATTTATAGTGGCCTGGGCTACTGGTGAAGACAATCAAATTAGAAGAGAAAAGGTCATTGAATCAGGCCGAATTCATTTTTAAGACCTTGAAAGCTAATACATGTTTAGCTGGTATCATTACCTTTGTTGGGGAAACATAGACCACAACACCATCGTTGTCTTGCCTCAACACTTTCTCCATGCAGTAGTATGAGGCGTAAGTCTTTCCTGACGAGGTGGGTGCCACAACTATTGCTGACTCGTTTTTATCCACGGCGTTAAGAAGTTCACGCTAGGGAGGATTTAGAACAAACGCATAGGGAGAATAAGGAGAGAACTACAACATAACGCTTGTTCCAAATGGGTAAACTCCTTATCGTGGGGGAACTATGTTTCATAGTGCTATGAAGGTTACATTTCTGGAACCTCCCCACCTCCCTCGTTGGGTCACCAGTAGCTAGTTTGGAGGAGGAGGGGGGATTTGAGCCTGGAACTGACGACCTTTTTCCTACCCCGTCTTACGTTAGCGTTGGGTTCACCTATCTAAGTTTGAAATAATCGAAGGGGGTGCTTGATTAGGAAAATATGGTTCCTGTATGTCGGAACAAAAACATCGATTTTTCAACTAACTAGTTTTTAATTGTATTTTATGATAGGTTTTGATCACCTTTTCTCTTTCTCCTCTGATCACCACTTCGCATAACTCCATGCACATATTCGTGTAGAATGAAAGTGTCAAAATACCTGCCATGTATCTGGAATAAAATGGTCGACCCTGGGATCGGGGTCAGTTCTTTCGGCCTTTTTCAGCAAATGGCCCATGTGCTCGAGTTGGAATCTTACGCTTGAAGAGTGGACATATAGCTCTTTAGTCTGAAAAAGGAAATCGTATGCAAGCTAAAGCAAAGTTAAGTTAAAAGACCAGTATAGGACAAGAAACCGTAGGCCCAGAGTCCCCCAGAGTCCCCCGCAAAGTGGTTCAAGTTAACTCAGAATACCTCATAGGAAGAGAGTTGTGAACAAACCCTACTGCACTGCATTGTGATGCTGTAGGTATTAAAACATTCATATTTATTCAACTATGCTTCCATTTTTTATGAAAGGAAACTTTCTTAAAAGCAAATTTATGGTCTGAGACAAACGGTGGCCCTTTGCATCGTGTAGTAGGTCTAGCGCGTTAAATAGTAGAACACTGCACCTCAAGTCAAACACTTTTACGAATTTCTATCTTAAGTCAAGAAAATCCCCGAAACGGATGGCTCTTGATCATTCATAGCTGTCGCAATTAGATAAAAATTCCGCCCAGCTAAGAAGTAACAATAGTTTCTTTTGGATTGAGCAGCCAATCAGAAAGAAGGAAAACATACCACGTGATTAGTCTGGATTGGCCAGAATCAAGAACGAGCAAAATAGTTTTCCTCCTTTCTCACTGACTGCTTTGTCAAAGAGAGACTATTTTGATAATATTAAAATATTGTAGAATGTACAGCGAATAGCGACAACAGGAGGAACCAAGTTCCCCAACTATTCGTCTAACCTTTCTCTCACGTTCTTCAGCTCGATGGTAGAACATGGATGCGATATCACTAAACCCTAGCTTCTGCATAAATCCAGACAGTTTCTTTTTGTATTCAACGGTGAGAAGGTCTTGGTAGCCATATGCCATTTTCTGAACACTTTCCATCAGAAGGACAGGATATTTCAGGTCATTAGATTCAGGATCAAGAGTTCCTTAACAAAAATATGCCGTCATCGTAAACTTTGAGAATTTTTGTGATAATCCCAATATTAAATGCAAGTCTCTATTTTTAACTTGTTTAGTCATCCCTTAACTACGTTACATGATTCGGAGACGAATGCCAATCAATAATGAAAACACTCTACTTGTCCCTTTTTTTTTACTCACTTGTGTGTTGCCAGGCTGCCATACAAGTCTTTGCTTTTTCCATCAGTGCATAAAGACGAAGGTCTGGAGATTTGCCATCTGCGAGGTACTTATCGACCAACTGAAGAACAGTGTCGTGGTTGTCTTTCTTCAGATTGCTAGCAATCTCTTTTTTAAAATGTTGCCACTTTTCTTCATCTTTCTCTTTCAACTGCCCTGTGGAAATTCAAAGTAACTTATAGCAGAGTACTCGACATTTCTCGTCTTTTGTTTCGGAACAGATTCGAAACAATAGAAGAGGGCGGGGCGCTTAACCAGAATCTTTGCTATTCTGAGAAAAGTTTTCGCTTACGTCATGTTCGAGCAAGGAGAAGGCCCCAACGTAGAATGAAAAATTCTTTTACGAACATTAACCTCTACTTGGGAACATAGCTTCGGTGAGTGAAAGACAAACCTTGAATCCTTCGTTCATTTTCTTCAATGATCTGTTTCTTCTTTTTCCCCTAAAAATACATCTTATTAGCATTTTGTTTATCTACCACATGTTGAGAGAAAAGTGTAGCAGACTAGTATTGGCCACCCGCGGGCCGAGAAAAAATTGTGCATCATTCAAAAAGTACAACAAATGATTCTTGTTGTTGTTGTCGCTAACAGTGGACTCATTCTAACGTACCATCTTTAAATCCTTGTGTTTTCCGTTTTTTTTCCTTGATCCATCTTCGGTGACGGTAATAATTTTTGCATTATCGACGCCACCAACGAGTGAGTTGCCATAAAGTCTATGATAGCGAACATGCTTCATCTTGTTTATAAAATACGATTTTCTCTCTCTTGGATCGGTTGGAGGCTTGTCTGAGTAAAGAAGGGTGTGGAGGCTTTTTAGCTATAGGTTTATTAACCAATCTATTCATGAAACTATAATAATGACAGATTCCATTTTTTACCTTTAAACTGTTGTTTCGTCCTTTCAAAATCATCGGTAAGTGGCTTAAGAGTATGCCAGTGGTAGAGTTCGTCAAATTCCTTACCACTGTTGAATACTTCATTTTCAGCCTCATCTCTGAGATAAGAAAAATAAACAAACCACCATGTAGAGAGTATTTTTGGATACATTACAGAAAATATGCTATTGTGAAAGATCTTAACGTTGCTGCACATTTTACCCAGCCATGGCGTTAATTCTTGATCTGATTTCCCCAGCATACTCATTTACAAGAGCACTGTCCACTTCAAGGAGCTTCCTGAGCTGTAAGCAAGCATCGTCGTCTGAATTGCCCTCTGAAACAAACAAGGTTGAAATTTAACGGCTAACATGACCGCTTATCGGGGCAATTTCTAATGAACCAAGCAAAGGTTTAATTAACGAATTCCAATACCCGTCTTTCAACCGAATGAACTCATGATAAGTTCAATTATATTCAACCGTTTTTCACTTGTTATACTGTGAGCTTTCCTGTTGCCTAAAAAGTATGTTAACAGCCGAATAAACTCATGATGAGCTTAACTCTATTTCTCCATTTTTATTTTTTACAATTAGCTTTCCTGTTGCCGAAAAAGTATGTCAACAAAATAAATTCGCAAAGATATTAGCAATGTCGTCCAAAGGTAACTGAATTAAAAAACAAAACATTTGTACGTGATTGCAATGATTAGAATGCACAAAAAGCTGCCGTAGCATATTTTGATTGATTGTCACCAACCTTCTACTCGGTGAAGGCCAGTAGCAATCCCGTCAAACATAGGGAAAAACTGAGATTCGAGCAAATTCGAATGACGTGATCCATTTGCAAGCGTAACAACTTTCCTCCACGCACACTCTGCCTCTCCTATCACATCCTCAGGCAGACCTAGTTCTGAAACATTTGGGGAGATATTAACAAACCAAAAAAAAAATTCATACATATGCAAAGACCGAAAATTTTGCGAAACACTTCGTAAATACACTGTTATATCCTGCAGGGATTCTCTAATAAATTCTTGAATGGATTTAACTGTTTAGCCACACCCTTTGAGTCCAAGATATGTTTGTCACCTGGTTTTACCTGGAGGCTTAACCAGTCGTAACAAAGTGTTTGTCTTCTTGGAAATAGGAGTTTAAATTAGTCCGTAATAAATGGTTTTTTACGCAGTTAAAAGGTGCAAACGATTCCACCTTTTTATTAACCATATCAAACTTACAGTAATGAGGTGGTGCTAGACACTGAACGGGCAAGAAGTATTTTGAAGTAGCAGTTACTTATTTTAATTAACTTTCAGATATACTGATCATACATATATAGCTAACAATAAAGCAAAAAAGCAAGATTGAAAACAAATACAGAAAAGGAAAAAACAAATAAAAAGATTCAGGGTTTTCATAAGCCCTTGTTTTGACTTTTCTTAGTCTAAATATTTGAGTAAACCTTTTCTACAAACCTTCGGAGTTTTTGGACGTTTGTTTCGCAAGACAAAAGAAGAGAACATGAACCAAGCGTCCGTCCACTAAGTCTGCTACTGAAGACATGTCCAATGAAATCTTAACACTCTCGTCTCGGTGTGCGTCTTCCAAAGCGATTTGCACCAGCTTTAGAATCTTCCATAAACCTGTATAAATCTGAGGCGTATGATAGGAAAGAATTGCTATTAAGAATTCTCACACGTTATGCCCGCTCTAAAAGCCCCAGGACTGTTTCTCAAAGGTTCTGGTAACTTGACGGGCCGGTAAAGCTGTTTTTTTTTCTTTCAAGATGAGGTGTTTAAAAGTTTTGAAAATTGACAATTAAACTATTAACTGAAGCAAGAAAGTTGACTGGCTAGGTAACCAGAACCTAAATAGTTCTCTATTCTTTAGAGTTTGTTTTTTAGAATATAGCATCTGACCCGTTATGTTACCAGCAGGAGCCCGTTTCTCGCGGGGCCCGGTAACTTAACGGGCCCGCAAAGCTGTTCTGTTTTCCTTCATGAAGGGGATTTCAAAAGTTACGATTAAAACAGCAGGTGAAAGGAAATTACTTTATGCGATTTCCTTTCTTGAGTATTTTGGAGTTAACAGTTTCGAAAGCCCTTCGCCCAAGGTTCAGTTCTGGTGTACTTTATTTTCTATATAGGAAAGAATAAGTTGGTAGAGGGCTTTGTTGGATTTATATTAGTAGTGCAGGGTCAAATAAGTTCCCCAATAGGTTTCTGCAAAATTCAATGTCTATTCCGGTCAGTCATGGACGAATTTCTGATATAACAAAGGCTAGAACTTCTTATTCAAACTGTAAAACCAGTTTAAAAGTATGCAATGACTAACAATGCGTACTTATAAAAGGTAAATTCTTACTAACCTCGTCGAAGGGAAAAACTTTGCCATCATTCTCCTCGCAGAATTCATTTAGCAAGGTCCTATGTGCTCTGTATTTCAGTGAAAGTTTCCTTAGCAGTGCAGCATGAAGGAGGAAAAGTTTTACCCTGTCTTGGGCAATCTTTACAGTTTCCTGTATGTTAGTGCAAATAGAAAAACACTTCACCAACTCGGCTACTCTTTCCACATTACTCGGGCATTTTTGACATTTTATTAAGAAGAAGGGTACCAACCTCACAAGAGTCATTGTCTCTAAGGAGTTTACAGAGGACTTGCGCACAAGTCAGGACTGTGGCAAGCTCTCGGCAGCCGCCTTGTGGTGGAGATTGAAGAGCGGCCCTAATTTCTGATTTAACATCAATCTGTAATGCAACAATTAATCAAAATGTTTCACAGAACAGATCACATCATACCAAACATCAAATAAACTTCTCTTTACAACCACACATACCTGACCCTCTTGAAACGATACCGGAAAACTGACGTGAGTGAATTGACGATTGCAATATGTCATCAAAATTTGCCATGTTTTAATCATTGGGTCTCGAAACTGAAAAGAAAAGGATATGCACCTGACAGTGATTTTCAGTTCGGTAACATTCATGCGTTTTTATGAATTTAACGTTGTGACAAATTTCAAACCAAGAAATTTACACATCTTTCAGCTTCCTTGTAGAATTCTAATCTTATAATTTTCCTATTTTTTTTTTTCAAAGAACCGGGGGCAGAACTTCAGCGACGTTTTATTCCAGTTTTTCTCCATCTATGGTTGATGATACTCGTGTAATATTTTATAGAAAGCATGTGTATACGATTACCTGCATGAAATACGTCCTATGTATTGACGTGGACTCGACGAAGTCTCCCATAACTTTTGTCGCAGTCATATCAATGCCTGATATGAATACACAATTCAATCTTTGTCCAAGAGAATGTAACAGAAGGCAGCGGAAGAAATACTCCACTGCCAAATCCAGCTCTCTGGTCTCTCTGGCCTCTTTCCACGGAATGTTTTCTGCGTCAGTTAGCATCAGAAAAGCCGGCGTACTGTTATCAATGTAGTCTGACCAGCCCTCGTGCCAAAAATTTGATACTGATGTGACAACAGTGAAGCGTGTATTGTTTTGAAGATGAAGAATTAGAGCTTGTCGTGCCAGCAACATGGAAGGTCGACTTCTCCAAATGATCTCCAAATCTTTGAAGAAGATAACACGAAAAACACCACCTAGGTATGCGAGAGACCAGGTGGTTAGATAATTTCAAGACAAATCAGTAGAGGAGGCCTGAGGACAATTATTTTTTTGGAATAACAATTTTACAACTATCTCGAAACGAACTCACTTCCGACAGATAAAATCAACTATTCTGCGGTGCTCCTTCACAGTCAGTGAGACAAATGACAGAAGAGAAACCCGCATTGCAACTTCATTTTATCTGTTGTAGCCTCTTTTCCCATAATTGCCGATTTTGGATAACGTTCATACATCCAAATATCCCTGGCGCATGTCATACTTCCGATAGTATCCCTGGAGACATTGCCGTCATCTCCCTTTTACCATGTCGAAGACCTTTTACACCCATCCAACTACAACCTGGTTACCACCTCTCTTTACGTTATGTTGACGAGTGATTATCATTTCGTTGATGTTCATCAATTATGCTATTCACAAATAGATTCTATGTTGTGGTGAGTCTGTTTGTTGATAGATCACGGATGAAATCAAAACGTGGTTATAACAAAAAAGTGCCACTTAAGGCGCAGCTTGGTGGGTCTCTGATATTCTTACCGCATAATAATTATGACGTCTCCTGTGATCTTTAACTATACAGACCAATGGTAAAATGGCATCTATTTATTTTATATGATAGAACAGCAAAATGTTGTTGATGGTGACGTCATCTACGCTTCTGTTCTCCAGTAGATAATAATTGAGGACCAATCAAAATGCGTGTAGGGTTCAGCTTGTCATTCAACCTCGTTCCCAAGGCCTCTTTCCTTAAATTTTTCGCACCCCCAAGTAAGGCGTAGGGCCCTGGGAACGAGGTTGTTTATCTTATAAAGTATTGTGACTCAAGTCGAAACGGTTTTTATTGATGTACTTTTAAATCTGCGCTGACCTTTATCGGTAAAGAATTTGAGAAAGCGTTCCACAAGATAGGTGAGATGCAGAAACTCTCCGCCATGTTGCCAATCTAAACTGTTCTCGCAAAGAAGCTCCAACAGCAAAGAGTCCCCATCGATAAGAAAAATTTCTGCATCAACAAAATCTGTCAGGATGTTGATGTATCTGTTAAGCGATAATAATATGTAAAAAAACTGTGATTTCGACTTCTGTTTCCTGAAAAGGGATTTTCTTATTTTTCGAAAAACAAAATATCTTATTTTTTTACTCCTTTCCCTCGCTTCACATAGAAGTGGCAAATTATCAATCTTAATTTGACAGAGCACATGATATATACTCGTAAACTTATAGCTCTTTGTCTCAAGAACCAAATACTTTTTGATAAAGTCTTTAATTTCTAACTCAGTCTAATAATATCGAAAATGTTCAAGGAAAGTCAGTTATTTGGACAAGTATCATAGTGTGACGCCCAGGATAGAGTAAATCAACAAAAGTTGTTGAGACAAAAATTAAAGGAACTGCTTGTGCCATACTTACTGTGGCCTAACTCTGTGACCGTAAAAAGAATTTCTGACACAGTCTATAATCCTGTTCACAGTAAGTGGCAGTTTAGGATCATTCTGATCTTGTTTGTTTTCTTCCACCGCTAGTTGTTCTAAGGCTGCAATTATACCAAACAAAATCTATTCAATAAAATTTTCAGTGAGATACAATGAATATATGAAGTTCAAATATTTTGAACTGCGGTATTAGATATGTATGATGCACGATCCTCGCAGTAGATAGCGCTATTTATGCAATAGCGAAAATCAGACCTGAAAAAAATCAGGCCTGTACGGGACTCGAACTACTGACCTCTGCGATACTAGTGCAGCGCTCTACCAATTGAGCTAACAAGCCAACTGGGAGCAGGCCGTTAAGTTGATTCGTAATAAACCCGTGAAAGTGATAAATGAGATACAATGAATATATGAAGTTCATATATTTTGAACTGCGGTATTAGATACGTATGATGCACGATCCTCGCAGTAGATAGCGCTATTTATGCAATAGCGAAAATCAGACCTGAAAAAAATCAGGCCTGTACGGGACTCGAACGTG